AGGGCCTATTAATAATGAGTACTGAGTTGTTACAGTCAACTCTCGCCTTGGGGACACCTCGCTAAAACGGACACCCCGATAATACAGAGGGTAGCTAAATCCCAGGCAAAAAAATTGCGGCTATTACGGACTCTCGCTAATGAGGACACTAAGTCAAGGTCCCTACAGTGTCCGCTATAAAGGAAGTTGACTGTATTCGGCGGCTTTGGGCTTTGCACCACGTAAATGACTGGCTATAAAAGGCCTATTAGTAATGAGTGCTGGGTTGTTATATGTTAAACTCTTGTCAAAAGACCCATGACGTCACATTTCGGAATTAAAGTTTTTAAAAATGCGTCTTTTGGACCGCAATAACTGAAACAACATGACCTTTTGAATGATTTTTTTTTCTCTTCAACAGAATGCAGCTACAGGCTTGTACATTGAAGGCCATTAAAAAGTGCAGGAATTACCTTGGAAATGATCCCTTATTTTTCATACCGGAAAACAATAAAGACTTCTTGTTATTGTCTGGAAATGTATGAGCCAATTTCAGAATTCAAACTAAATTGTAAAATAAACTTTTTCTTTTCTTTTGATATTAGTGCAAATTTACGTAGAGGATGCCACTAAAATAGCGAAAGGGAGAAGGGAAACTGGAAACAAGAAACGGTAAATGGAAACGAGCACCTGGAAAGGAAAATGAAATAAGGGGACTGGGAACGAAATAGAGCATGGGAAATGGTTTTATTGATATCATAGGGCTGCGAAGTAAGTTAGACTTTTGTTTGCCATTTCTAAATGTTGTTCTGTCGGCAACATCCAGGGGCATCACGCCAACTCTAAAACTCTGAAAAAAAAAAGATAATAAAAGCTAAAACTACAAATACAACTAATATTAACTGCTAACAAAAGATAACCTGAAAGAGTTTACTTCTAAAAAATAGACAAGAATTATATATTGGCTGGTGACAGTTTCTTTTGGGAGTTTGTTCCATTCAGTTATTGGTGAAAGAAAGAAAATCTAAAACTATCCTTCTGTCCTTTCGGTATAAATACACTTAAAATCATGGCTTCCGTCGTATTCTCCTTTCACTATCTGGAATCAAATAGTCCTCCCATTTCCCATCTAGGAAACCATAGCACATCTTATACACTTGACGGACAGCCAGAATGTTGGATTATGCAAACAACATTTTCGATCGTTCTTTCCGCCTAACTCATTCATGCTGTTATTTTGTCGGTTAGTTTTTTTGTCGGGTCTGACCTTTTATTCAGAGTTTTAAGAGTTTCAGCTCCTTTTTAACCGATAAAACGATTGCCTGAGAGGATTTCAGAATCCTTTTTAATAAGTCACATTACTTTTTTTGGCTTTGTTTTCAAAAGTAAAGTATATCTTTCATTTTGACGACTTCTCGCGTAAGAGAAAACTTATCATTAAATACTGCACAAAATCAAAACAATATTTTTGGTTGCATTTCTAAAAATATTCTGCCAAGTTCCACCTAAGAAAAATGTTACCAAACGGCGGCTTGTTGCTTATACTAAGAAAGATATAGAGTACATCACTAATACAGTACAAAGTTTTCTGATTTACCATCTTTTTAACAAAATGAGCTTTGTTTTTTTGTTTCAAGAATAACCTCTTAGTCATTTCAAATTCATCTCGCTGTTAATGTCAGCAGTATGTAGTTTTGCGTAAAAAAAATAGACTCTTTGGTTCTGGTATTTTAAGTTTTGATTAAATGACGAAACGTCTATAAAATGAAATTTTTAACCGTCCACTAAGGAACTGCCCTTTATCGATATTTGCAATTCTGTGTAAAACATTTTCAGTTACTAATTAAAAATGTATTGTAGTAATAATTCAACAGGCCGTTTCAGTCACTATTTACAACTGCCAAGAGTAGTACAAAAATATTCAACACAAAAATTAATTTTGCAGCGCTACTTCAATTTTCAGTTGAAACTTGACTGATACAACTGACATTGTTTTTATTCATTTTTTTTCTGCAACTAGATATTCCACTTTGCATGTATGAAAGGCTCTAAATAGACTACCTTTAGCCTTAAAACACACCATCGTTATGCTAATATACCGGTAAGACACGTTTGCGGTTTTAGTTATAAAATGAAGCTACAAGCTGAAAAAGTCATTAGCTGCCCAAAAGTCTTAATAAAGATTTGAATCAGGGAATAATCTTCTTAAATATCTCTAAGCCACTTAACTTGGAAAATATAAAGAAAAATATACGGCTTGCGGGACTGCTCGCGGTGATTCAAAATTTAAGCTTACGCCCACTTAGAAAGAAGCCTCGTTTTGAATTCAAGACCAGCTCAATGAATGTAAGGCTGTTTGTTCCAAACACCAAACAGTGTTGTTCAAACTTAGCTTATGGACGAGATTATTGAATGGTCAAATCAGAAGAAATTTGTTGAACAAGACGCTGATATTTCTTTATCCCCTGTTGTGCTTTTATTTTTTTTGCCGCACAAAAAGTTTCTAACATTTCTCTTTGCGTTCACCCAAAGTACTTTAGATCTGATTCAGGTGAGAGGCTTGTGTACTGCGCGTGTTGTTTCTTACGAACCCTAACAATCGGAAATGAACTGGGGTTAGAGCCTTTGCAGTTGCAAAACACAATCAAAACAATTTAACATAGATGTTAACATCAAGGTGAACATCCATTGTTTTCTTAGTAATGATACGTGCGAATATTAGCGGGTTGCTCTGCTTTTCCTATTTGCTAATCAGCGGGGAAGTTTGGAGTCAATGAACAGTCAGAATACACACAATTATCACAAGAACAAGTCATAAATTAACAACAACAAAACGCTTGGGACGCCACACGCGCGCTTGTTGTTCTTTTCTAAGAAAAAAATATTGTCTTTATTTCACTTGAGATTCAATTGATCATCCTCTTGTCGCAACCACCAACTGTTCGTAAAATATTTAGTGCAATAGCGTGTTTGTTTTTTTTTTTAGCAAGGTTCATCATGACCAGAAATGCTGGCAAACGACAACAAAGAAGCAAGCAAACATTTAGGATATATGAACTTTAATTCCACATTTCACAGTTTAAAAAACCTCCGACTTTTTGCAGCTTATATACTAGTTTAAAAATTTATGAATCAAGGCTAAGCATGTCCCTCTTGTGAAATTTGTTTTGAAATATCCTTAATTTGTTTACCAAATAATAATTTTCTATCTATCAGGTATCCAATGTTAGCTTTCTGATAAAGTTTCTTTTTCTTTCTCTTTTCCTTTTTTTTCTTTTTTCACCATTTTTTCTAATCTCAATGCTTATAAAACCCCTTCTTTTTTCTCCTTAGTAATTCTATCTGTTTGCAATATTAAGGCTCTTAAATTTTAATGAGCTTGAGAAATGAGTATTTTCGGTGTAGCATCGGTTGTGGGTGTGATTGCTCAATCGCATTTTCGCTTGCAATTTTTCCTTTTAGGTAATACTGAAGACTGTATACAATCGACGCAAAAAAGAAAATGTATCAAAAACTATACAGCCGAATTTTTTGCATGCTTTATAGTCAGTTGTAGAGGAACCCGGAGGAAACAACTTTACATTTCGAGTGAGACTAATGTTGACAAGAAAGTTTGTTCAGTAGAAACAGATAAATTGTTTATCCGTGAACTTTTTAAATGTTTTATGTCCCACGAAAATTACTAATAATAATACTTCTTTTCGATTTATCGGCTGTCTCTCAATAATTTTTTTTTTGGCGAGGGACGAAATTTTTTTGTAGACAATTTTATTTCTTAAACTAAGGCATTCACATTAAAATAGAAATCATCCTCTTTCTTAGCACGTTGTTCAGTGGCTTTATTGCGACTACTATGTTTCCTTTTCTGTTGATTTAATTGCTGAAGTCGATATTTTATGAGAAATCTGAATCACTAGCCTCCCAAATTAGTTTCGTTGCAAAGTCGCCTTCATCGCGCATATTCCCTTTTCTAAACAGTTTAAAGTTTAAAGGGTCAACTTTACGTTGGTGGTGTCTTTGCTTTCGGATGTCATTGGCTTCTCCTCTTTGCCATCCAAAAAAAAAACAAGAAACGAAATATCAGCATGATTTTCAGGTTCCTGGAGCGGTTTTAATTGCCTTGACGACAGCCGAATCCATTTTGCTCCTCAGCGCATTGTATTAGAAAAGCCCCAATTAATTTAATGTATTCCATTACGTCTGGAGAGTGATACAGGGTGTCTAAATAAAAAAATGGCCCTGCGGGAGGTATTTTTGTGGCAATAAGTTAAGAAGTTGTGGTTTAATATACTCGCGAGCGTCTTATCACTCAATTCACCCCTGACAGTGAACAATTTTCAAAGGCGGGAAAGCAATGGTATACTGTGAACAGTTAATCATCTTTTTTGCAGTTAAACAATTGAAGGAACAGTATGTTTTCAAAGCATGTTTCCGGCGTTCAAAAGCTCAATAACTAAGCGAAAAAAATTCCACCTGCCAGAGTTTATTCAACGGAATTTTAACAAAGGGAATAAAGTGTCGCTTCGAGGGACGACACGAAATAGGTTAAACAGCACTAGTCAATTAGAACAGGGAAGATGGCAGTTATAACTTTTAAAAGTTTTGTCATTAACAAGTGTGAGAATTACTTGACGGTTTAAAACTTCAGGCAAAAAACAACCAGTGGTCTTCATTTTCACGAATCTTTTAATTATTGCCATGCAAAGAATATTCAATAGTGCGGTCTTATTCAAGATCGTGTAACTACATTTAAGTGTTAAATTGAAATTTTAACATTGTAAAGAGGTTACTGAATCGTGCTTTGTACTTGTTCTTGACAAATGAGGATAATTTATTTCATAGCCATTAAAATAACAACATTACACCAGTGCCTCTTGGTCGCAAAAATAGTTAGTAAAGTATAAGTATTTGGAATATTATTCAAGAGAGCATAAATACTTCAAAATTCAGCTCATTGTGGTTCCTATCGAACTCTTATTTCGGTGATAATTCTAAATCATGTTAACATGATTAACTACAAATATTTCAGTTAAGTACAAATTGCAAGTTGCGTTTTTAAAAAAATTGCTCGCGTTCTTCCACTTGCGAATGGAATCTTTGAATGCCTTTATTCCCAGGTAGAAAAATGTTGTTGGAAATATTTAGTAAACTGACTTATAAATGAGTGCTCTTGTTATTTAGAAGTTAAATTAGAGTCAATTCCTCGCCAAAGTAAAAAAATGTTAATTAAGCACAAAAAAGTGCTTCTGTCATGTTTCAGAGAATCCAACAAATTATTCGGATAAGTCTTTTAGAATTCTCAATGCGCTTGTTCAAGGTGTTCTTTTAAGTCTGTCTTTTTCGAGAAACGTTTGCGGCAAGTCCTACAGTGAAATGGCAAATTATCTGAATGGGTGTGCATATGGAATTTCAGATTGGACATCTTGTTAAAGGCTCGATTACACTGGTTGCATCGGAACGGCTTTTCTCCCGTGTGAATCATGATGTGATTACGCAGATTACCCTTCTGGTGAAAGCCCTTGCCGCAGATGTCGCAGATGAAGGCCTTCTTGTCACTATGTGTTCGCAGATGCGTTTTGAGGGTGGACGACCGGTTGAAGCTTTTCCCACATTCGTCACATTTATGCGGTTTTTTCTCGGTGTGGATGATCTTATGCCGGCAGAGGGTACTCGATAGGCGAAACCCTTTTCCGCAGACGTTACACACAAACGGTCGGCTCTTAGTGTGATCGGGCATTTTTAAGTGGATTGACAGAGTGTACTTGGTCTTGAAAACTTTGCCACACTGATTGCATTTGTGGACAGTTTTGTCTGAGCGATTCTTCGCGCCTGTGCCATTCAGCTCATTTGCTTTATTCATAGGAGGGAATTTTCTATTCGTGGAAGGTGTCACCCGTTTCAAATCGCCCGAAGATGAGTTAGCTTTTTTACTCGATTCGAATCCACCTGTTCCTGAATTTTGAAACAATTCGTTTCCCTGGAGAATTCTGTGTTCGGCTATCAATGAAATTTCACTAAGGCTGCTTTTTTGAGCATCTTTCTCCGACATTTTCTTTTCATTATTAATGAAATCATCTGCAAACCTCAAAATCTTTCCGATATCATTTACGCGCCTGTCAATTCGGACATCGGCTGGATAAGATAATTTCTTTTTCTTCTGAAACGCATTAAGCAACTCCTCTTCGGCATCTTCTTTCTTTATCTTTGTCGGCCCGCCCGGCCGCTTGCTTCGTCTGACGTCTGAGAAATCTTTGCTCGTCGACTTTTCCCCATCTGCGAATTAAAAACGCGACATGCATGATACTTCTACTAAAATGTTAAAATGAACACACAGCTCTAACATGAAAGTGGCCTATGACATGTTTACATAGAGACGCTCTGAATTTTGAGACAATTCGAATTAACGCATTCTAGCAAATACTTAAAATGATTTGGATTCAGAAAATAGAAGTATATAATGCAGAACTGACCTTGATGGATGAAAAGTATTTTTTCCTCACTGAAATAATTACCATCATCAAAATCTCTTTTCAGCAGAAAAGCTCTCGGCATCGCAGTAGATTTGCGGTATATTAAGAGAATTTGTCAAGGCCGTTGCGATGCGAAGTTGTTTCCTCTAGAGAGGAAATTTGGCGCGATTCAAGCGTAGATCTTTAGGCAATCTGGTCTCTGTAAGACTGAGCGGTTTTCCTTTGTGTAGCTTCATCTTATAGCAACTCAGTGAGTGCGAAATCTTTTAACAACTTTATGTCATGGGGACTCAGATAGATCTCTGCATTGTGTTCCGTTTGGATGATTAACTTATCGGCCAATCAGATTTCGTCAGGTCTGGAAACCTGCAAACATATTGAATAATTTATAAACTGCACATATGAAAATAACTCTACAACACCTGCTTCTGTTGGCTTCAATTTTCATACTCTTATCAGAAAATCCGCAGACAAATTCTCCGTAGGTATAATCAAGAGTATATTCTCTGGCCAAAACATCATGGTACGTACTTTCGCAGTTCTTCGAACTTTTTCTGAGGGGTACTCGTTTTTTGGTGTTAACCGGTTTGGGTATAGTCGACCTCTTCTACACCCGTTGCGCTGTAATAAAAATGCAAATACTGAAGAATTTGCTCTTGAAAATATTTATCCCTCTCTCGCCAGGGTGTAATAAGTGATGTTTAAGGCTATAGGCCCGCCTATTGGATCTTGGTTCATAATAACTAAAGCTAGCTTTATTACTGGCCACTGGTAGAGGTCTTTGTGTAGAAATCTTTTTTGTCATTTCAATGGTATTTATGAGTTCGCCTTCGCATCCGCAAAATTCTCCCACCTTTGGCCAAGGAAGAAGACATTTATTTACCGTTTATTTTGAATTTCCTTCAGTCTTTTGGCTTCGGTAAGGTTTTCCCCCAAACCTCTCGGCATAAATTAATCTTACCGCAGTTCCATCCAATCCAGCACTCGCTATCTTCTATCATTGCAAAACTATCGGCCCAGAGTTTGTTTATTTAATTCAGTATTATGATCGGTCGCCAGTTTGTCTCTAAAGCCTCAATAACTCCTCGAGAATTGTTTTGCTTTTTCTATGCTTTCACAACAAAGGGGATCTATGTGGTGTATGGTCGCCATTATCACGGCCGGTAAAATCCCTACTGTGCCTTTATTTCATCTAACTCGAAACACTTGATAACCATTGTGCAATTTAAAATAACTAGCTTTCACGTTTGTGGTGTTACTACACTAGCTTTACTAGCCAACTTTATTATAATTCAACAAAACAAAATTCGGTCTCAGACGACCACAATGATCTGACTATCTCCTTTTAGCGTAAGGGTGTTTTAAAATGAAAATTAAAACAATGGGATTAGGATTGATAAAATATCGACAAGATCTAACCAAAATTAAAGCTTGCGCACTGTTTATCTGAAAAAAAAATTAAGCGCACTTGATACCTTAAATTTCAGCTTGTGGTAGAAAATGTTCCAATTTTTAACACCCATTGAAGCGATACAAACGAAGAAAGATTGCGATCGTTTGGGTCCAAGCGCAACTAAAATTTCTTGACAAAATAAATCGATGGGGGAAAAAGTCAATATCAAAATTTTCAAAGGAAAATAATTTCACCGACTGTTTCTTGGGGCGAAAATTCATTTCAAGAGCGAATAAAAGGTGCAAACTACAGTTTCTATTTGTCCACGTAATAGACTGGTAAAATATGTTATACATCATTTCCGCGTTGGACGAATGTCGCCTTTCGAATTCAAAACACTTTTATGAGGATTAATTAAATTTCCCAAATTCATCGTTTGCATATTATGAACTTTCTTGGTCTTAAAATATTTGCTAGCTATCGAAATGCGGAGAATCCCACTAAAAACGTAACAAATCGATAACCAAAAGAAATTCGGGAAATCTCTCCAAGGCGTGTATTGTAATGATACTCTTTTAGCGTTCCGATTATTTTTCCGTTACATACAAACATATTGGTCGCAAAAACTGTAAGAAAAATGTTTTGCCAATGGCGCAATAATTGAGAAACAACGCTTATAATTATGATTACTTTTATGAGTGTACGAGACTTTGATCGCTTTTGCGCTTTTGAAGAGTAGAACTTATTTGAAAAGAAAGTCATTTTTAAGACTCGTTAATCGAGACGTGTTAACTTTAAAGACAAGTGTCATCATTTCTCTTTTCATACTTACAGTATTAGTGGCTTGAAGTCATATGTGCTGCATTTTGCGCGAACGCGTATATATTAGATACTGAACCGGAATGGAAGTAATATTCTCGATTTTGGGGCATTCGTTTTGTTTACAAAAAATTATTTCAACAAATGAAGCTGTCGAAGTTTTAAAAGATATTGTTTGCGCGAGTTAATCATCATAACTCACACAAACAGGTGCATGCATTATTTTACGTCTTAGCATATATTATAACAGACATCAAAAAAGAACCCATTTTTTACTGCTTTAATGGCTATATCAATACAGTCCATTATGCTCTTTTGAAAAATTTTCTATGGGGTATTTAAATTGCGTTCTCGTTCGATGAATGAGTTTTTTTGATAGATCCTGCATCGTTTTGTTACGACACATTTATGAACTGTAAAGTGAACTGTCAGTCAAACGCAATTTTTTAAATTTGCAAATGACTTATTTCGTTGTGAGTTTAGTTTATTACCAGTACCGAAAAGGCATTAAGCTTCTTGTCATTTTTCCTTTTTTTTCCTTTAACATTAGCACAACAGGACTCAAATAGCACATTACAAAAGATATTAAGTCCAACTAAGATAATTTTTTTTTCGAAACACAAGATTATCACAGTGCTAATATGTCGTCAAATGTATGCTGTACATTTCTCTCCAGTGCAAAGTATCGTTCTTGTTCTTTCGCTAGTGACAGAGATCGTAAAAGTCTCGCAAGAAATTAAGCAACTTTCTCTTATAACCAGGTCTTAATTTCACTTGGCTAAGCCAAATTTTCCTGCCGTTCAACCCACTAATTACAGAGCGAGCTCTTTAGCCCACACAGCTTGGCGGGACTTCCAAGTCAATGATCATCATTTCTCTGTTTTTAAAACAGACTACTCGCGTGCGTTAGCATTGTTATCTTCTTGAATTTCCAACAAATAGTTGGCAGCTATTAGTATCATAAAGTTAATGTTATGTTTTCCTCACAACCTCTGAACGTAGCTGACAAACGTTATTGCGAAATGTGTTCCTTTTTCACATTTTCAGTTGAATTTAGTGTAATAAATATTATACAGGATAGGTAGGTGTACGTATTTCGTTCTTACGAATGATTTCTTAGAATTTATTCCAGCTGGATTATCTCTAATTAGAGAATTAAGTTCAGTAGAATACAAAGCAAAGACCTGTGATCCACAGTCGAAATCCCACACTGTTAAAACGTCTTCTCAGGTTTCGTTAGTTAATTAAAATACTAGAGGAGATGAGAGCTAAAGGAAGGTAGCAAAATATATTGATGGTCCGGTTCTTTTTGAGACAGCAAATGTAAATGAACAAGAGACATTTTAAAGCCTGCGTCTTTCTAATGACCCCCGAAAAAAAACACTGAGCAGTGAAGCCGCAAAAAGAATAGAGCGCAAGGTGGAGTCTGCTTTTAATCACTTTATTCGAATCATCGTTTGCATTTTTCAACGAAATAGAAGTAAATTCAGTACAGTTGCGTTCCAGTACACAACTAAAAAACGAAAATGCGCCGATAATTGGGATCTTCAAAAACCCAACACTACAAAAAAGGAAGTTTTTCCAACACCAGCAATTTTCGTGTGCTAACACTAAAAGGCAAAGAACTCTTTATTTTAGGTCGTCTCACCTTACTCTAAAGAAAAGCGATTAAAAATGCATAGAGGTTTTCAAAACCATATTAAGAGAAAGATTTTGGAACGACAATTTTTATCATTACAAAATTTCCCAGTTGTAATAAGCGAGAAGCAATAAAATGAAACGAGTGTCTCCACAGAAACCTCGCTTAATCAAAGACCGAACAGTAAGAGGAGAAAAACAAAACAGGTTTTGTGAAGTTCAATCTCGCGTCTGCAGACAAGCAGGGTGATTAAAAATGCATACTAGATGATTTGGTAACGATGAAATTCCGAAATTCGAGTCCCAATTGTTTCCAATTTTTTCGTTCTTTTTGCTAATAAACATGAATGCGGAGTTTGAAGGAATAGAGTATCCCTGCAAAATAATTTTTTGAAAACGAGTTTTTTTTTAAGAGGAAAAACAAATAAGTCATTTGCATACATGAAATATTGGCCAAAACAACATCATAATAAGTTCATGCCATTTTTGTGAACTCCACTTGCTCATTTTCTGCATGCTTTGCCCGCATGGAAAATTCCCTGCACTTTAACTTTCCTGCCCCTTATACGAATCTGAAATTACTTTTTCCATAGTCTAATATTCGCAGTTAAAACCCATTGAAACAGGTTCCCTTTTTAATAATGAAGGAAAGTGAACTGGTCAGCCCCCAGCTTACATCACGCAAATTACGTCAGAGATTTAAATATCCAACTTTTTGGATATTCAAGTTTTATTAAATTCATGATAAGTAGGCAGAATCGTACCTAATTAATGCAGGTAGCATGACCTGCCAAGCCTTTATCTTGGGTTTCACTGTCTACAAAACAAACAGTCTTCTTTGCCGGACTATGGGATCAAAGCATAAATACAAGCTCAGACACAAGCACGAGGGAAAAGACTTCCTTTCTTAATTGTGCTAAACCCTGGGGTACTCAAAAATATTTTGGTAGTAAATGCTGAGTGACCTAGGCTATTTCCACACTTCACCCTATAGCTTGTCGTGTCGGCTTGACAAGCTATCTCGCCAAATCTCGCTTGTGTAAGGGAATCCAAGGCAGCCTTCGATTCTGGTTCCAGGTACAGTGAAATCTCTATTAAGCGGACACTTGCGGGACCTTCCCATGTGTCCGCTTATATAGAGGTTGTAAAAATTGCGCAACGTTTGTTAGCGATCAACATTCAACGGTTACCCTGTACTGTGATAAAGTCACATGTTGTTAAAGAAGCTATCCAGTCGATATCCAGAGTTCAAGTTCGTTATCTTTCATTACCAACTTTAATTTGTTTGTAAATGCAAAATCATTAACTGACTTCAGTCCGTATTTCAAGGACGTAATCCAAAACTACTATTGTCAATTCAGTCCGCTGTCCGCTTAATAGAAATAGGCCAAATATACCTTTTTTAGTGTCCGACGTCCGCTTAATAGAGGTTTCACTGTACTAGATTCTAGTCTTTTTCAGTGGAACTTGCATTCTGGAGCCGGACTCCCCAATTGTTAGTC